CCTAAATCACTTTTTAAAGCCTTGTCCTTCCCAGGGAGAGCAATTTCTCTTCGCAGCCTCTGGGTGAACTATACACAGAAAATAAATAAATCCGCTCTTTCTAGACATAGTACAGGCCGAGTATTCTAAATCCAGAAATGCAAAGTCTGAAATGCTCAAACATCTGAACCACATTGGACTACTCACTCGCCACAGCAAATGGAAAATTCCACACCTGACCTCTTGTGGCAGGTCACGGTCAAAACACAAGCAAACCAGAAATACCGTGTGAGTCCAACTTCCAGCTGCATAGGTGCTTGTGAAATACAGATGGGTTTTGTGTTTAGGCTTGGCTCCTAGCCTTGAGACGTTTTCTCTGGCATATGTAAATATTCTAAAAATGTGAAAAAATACAAATATTAAAAACTCCTGGTCCCAAAGTTTTTTTTAAGTTACTCAGCCTGCAACCTAAAAAAAAAAAAAAAAAAAAAAAAAAAATGTTTTCATTATTATTATGTGTGCACACACATGTTCAGATGTCCTGAGGTCGGAGGACAACTATATGAAGCCAACATGTAATCTAATTTCTTAATTCTTTTTATGTCAGAACTACATATATTCAGGCTGCTTCCAGGAAATTGAGACATCACATCAGAATGGAGCTGCAGCTCTGTTTTCTGGAAGGGGTTGTGTTAATGGCAGCTTGTGATTGTCAGGAAAATGGTTCCGTGGGTAAAGGCACCTGCATTGACACTGAAGACCTGAGTTCATTCCCCAGGACCTACAAAAATGAAAGGGGAGAACTGACTCCTAATAATTGTCCTCTGATCTTCACACGCATGCCACTGCATGGTCATGCCCCTCACACGTATACATATGCCTGCAAATAAAAATTTACTAAAACCATTTTTAAATAATAAAATAATTAGCTCTTGGACTTCTGGCTTAGGGGCACAAAATGCAAATTAAGTGTCACCTTGAACCACCAAGCATGCCTGTGTGGTATGCTCAGGAGCAAGGGCTAGTCTGACTTAACTGTGGTCGTGAAAACTCCTGACTCAGTGTAAATAATCTCAGTGTTATAAAACACAGATTTAGACCTTTGCTGACATCCTGGATTCCTGAGTATTTCTGAGTCTGGCTCATGCTAGTTTAAAAAGCTCTTATGCAAGCAAGATCTACCGGGTGAGGCCTGGAGGCCACTAAGACAGTCTCTGTAAAGAAATCTTACCCTTCTTCCAGCACACCTAAAAGACCCACCATTAGCAACCAGCTTAGAGCATCGTGTCCATGGAATTTCCCAGGTTAAATGCACCTATGCACGTGTGATACTGACCACTTCACCAGGGGAACTCTGCCTTGCCTTAAACATGTTTTCAGATCCTATGCAGCCCTGAAGAAACAGTTGTGGATGAGTCTGGCATCCCCCTCACTGAGATCTAGCAGCTCATCACAGGGAGGTTGCCATGCTTGGAATTAGCTTAGTGTTAAATGGTTACACCGTGGGCTGCAGATATGTCTCAGAGGTTAAGAGCACTAGCTGCTCCTCCAGAGGTCATGAGTTCAATTCCAAGCAACCACATGGTAGCTTACAACCATCTGTAATGAGTCTGGTGCCCTCTTCTGGCCTGCCTACATGTCAGAACACTGTATACATAATAAGTAGCTAAGTCTTTAAAAGAAAGTGTTATACTGTGACACTATTACACTGCAGAGAATGAGGGAGAGGGAGACCATAGATAAAAGTTGTGGGTCATCTGATAACCCACAGAGCTGGGCTCTCCAACATCAGTCAATGAAGAAAACACAGCAAAGGCTGTGTCTACAGACCAATCTGCTGGGGACATTTTCTCAATTGAGGTTCCCTCTGCCAAAATGACTCTAGCTTGAGTCAAGTTGACATAAAACTAGCCAGGACGTATATATTCTTGCCTTCTGAGTTTACATAGCCAAGTTTCGCCTCAAAGAAATCCTTCAGGCCTGTGTCAAAGGCAAAGAGTTGAGGCAGGGCCTCCTTTCTGAAGGCGGTGCCAGACCTCAGCTCTGGGGTTCAGGCCATGGACCCAAACAGCCTGTTGGGATAAAACCGAGAAACCCAGAGTCCAAGGAAACAGCTGTGTGCAGGCGCAATCCCTGCTCCTCAGAGGATGGTTTGAGAAAGCCTCATTCACCCTGCACCTTCTACTCCCAGGGTTTCCAGCCACCATGGTGGCCTCAGGTGCCCAGGCCAACCCGAGGAACAGCAGGGCTCCACACCGCCGCCAGGGGGCAGCTCTGCCGCGCTCCCACATAGCCGGCCTCTTTCTTGGTACCTGCGTGTGTGGTGGAGTGGGGAGTCACAGTTGATACCGAGTGGCCTTCCTGCCCGCCTCTGGTAAGGATTTCCGCCCACCCCCAGTACTAGCTTGAGGGAGTTGGATGAGATGGAGATTTACTAGTCCTGGGAAACCTAGGGCTCTAGGAGATCCAGAGCTGGGAGACCAGGGAGGCAGAAAGAGGATGCACAAGCGCTGATTGGGTTTCCATGCTGGGAAATTTCAGGGTGAAACAGCTAAGGAGCGCAGAGTAACAGGTGTCTTAACTAAAGCAAACAAACAGGTGGAGTGCCCAAAGGTGGGGCTTTGGTGAATCTTACCCAAATCTCTGTTAACATGTTCTGCCCCTATGGCGATCCCAGTGGGTCTAGGCGCTCTGACCTCTGGCAAATCTCCACATTTCCCTGAGTGGCCTGAAAATGATTTGTCACGTATTTCAAACACGTCCAGGGAAGAGCCCCTGAACTAAACTTTTGGGGAAAGACTTAGGGGTGATTTTACAAACAGAACTCAAACTCTCATTTCCCATACCTTTCCAGGACAGACAAGTTGAAGACGCTTGAGCAAAAAGAGGGCTGTAATTGATCCTCTAACGTTATTAATAGCTTGCGAACAATTCTTCCTGACGTTCATCTTCAAATACATTGCCACGCAGCAACACACAGCGCTGCGAAAACCATGGTGTTTATTTGGATATCGGCCAAGGACTCACACAACTTTAACGTTCGATGTAAACGTGGACATCTTGGTAAGGACGCTTGTCTGCGTCAACAAAGCACTTGCTGCCTGATTAACAGTGTTGATTAATGTTGGTGCAAGTTAATCGGAGCCCATTACAATAATTAGATGGTCCAGCCATACATCAAACGAGAGGCAATGAAAAATAACGCTTTCAGATAGCGAGGCATTCTTGGAGCTCTTTCAAAGATCTCTAATAGACTTTACGGGCCATTTACAAGTGGAACTTGTAGGTTAGCCATTGGAGGGAACCAAACTCGATTTGAAAAGAAGTCTTAGGTGAGGCAAGAGTTCATTTTTTAGACTGTGATGAATACCAGTTGGGACACGTCGTTTCAGGAAGTAAGAAAGAACTTGGTTGATAAAATGACATACACAAGAATTTGAGTCCTCGAGAAAGCCATTGGATTTTTACTCAGTTCTTGGCAAATGACCGTTTTGATCAAAAAGTTAAACTTCTAAGGCAACGTTCTCTCTTTGAAATAGAAGCATCTCAGGAAATTAAAACATCTAGAAAGAATGAATTCGAGTTACACAATTATTTGGATATACCACCAGCCAAAACAAATAATTTAGCTGGTGATAAAGCAGAATCATACTTGAATTATTCCCACTAGTTTGTCACCTGGAAGAAAAACGAATCAAGTGGAGTTGAATCTCATATTTATAAAAAAAAAAGATCGTTTCTTTTCTCAAAGAGGGTAAGAAATATTTAATGTATTTTCATATGTATATGTGCACATATATGTATATACACATATACATATATATGCATGTATACATGTATACATGCATATATATGTATATTTGATCTCAAAGTACATCTTTGCTTTCTTTGTCTTTTCTAGCACCGATCCTGCCTGAGCAGCATTGTGTGTTGTGATAATTCTAGGGTATAGAGAGTACTGTGAAACCTTACTAGAGCAGACCTTTTATTGAAAAATGTAGCGCTCCTTTTTCTTTTTCTAACATGGCAACAGTTTTTTTTTTAAGTTGCTGCTAGATGCAATCTCTCTCTCTCTTTCTCTCTCTCTCTGAGTATGTGTGTGTTTGAATTTTCACTAATTTTTTTTATTTCTTTTCCTCATTCAACCATTGCTCTATTCCCATGGAATTTGTGAGATCCTCTCATTAGAGTGGCTTAGTTTAGCTGTCAAGTCCCTAGGGCATTCAATTGCAGATAAATGACTAAAACGCCAGCCTAACCGCATTTTTATTAACAGATGGCGGAAAACAAACGTCTTTGGAGAAGAACCGAAGGGAAAGGGTTAAAGGGTCAATAAACAATTATTACCATGCTTAAAATGGGGGGATTTCTCATCAGATTCCACAGGCAGAGGTTGGCCCAATCCAGGGGACACCCCACCAGACTCCCCCCGCTCAGTATTCCAGGGACCACCTCACACACAGAGTAGCTGTCCCGTGGCGGGACGGCTCTCACAGGCCATCGAGTGGTCCAACCCAAGCGTCCAAGGAGCGCTTCTGAAGTTAGGGCCCGGAGAAGCGGGCTGGGGCCTCGAACTCGTGCAGCCTTTGGGTCCAAATTGCCGCTAGCTAGGACGCGATACAGGATATCTGAGACCGTGGCAAGAAATAGCAATAGCAGGGTCCAGAGTCCAACTCTTGCGGCCGCCCCTCCTGCGGGTGAACTTTCTCTCCCCGCACGCTGATTCCCTCGCCTTTCTTTTCCCTTCCCGGGGCCGCGCTCTGACGCGCACACCATGTGACAGGCCCCCTTCTGCTATAAGCTCAGACGAGGTCCGCCCTCTTCTGGACTCAGCCCTGGCCTCGCCGAGCACCGTTCCTAGATTCCCACACGCCCGGGCGCGCGACACCGCCTGGCCAGCCGGGGTCCCGCCACCCCGTCCTCGGCTGACCCGGCCAGAGGGACCGCAGAGGGGAAGGTCAAGTCAGGCGCCCACCGCCGGCGCCCTCGGAGCCCGGGCGCGCAGACGCTGCACGCAGCCCGAGGCGCAGCGAAGTCGAGGCGCGGGGCCCCGCCGCGGTCCCAGTACCTCCCCGGCCGCGCGTCCCAGCGTGGCGTCCCCGCTCCCCGCCCGCCGCCCCGGGGCCGGCCTGGGGGGCCGAGCGAGCCGAGAGTCCGGCGTCCCTATGCGCCGCCGCGCCGCCGGCTCGCCCCAGCTATGACCCTGAGCACGGAGATGTCCGATGCCTCCGGCCTCGCCGAGGAGACAGACATCGACGTGGTGGGGGAGGGCGAGGACGACGACGACGAGGAGGACGATGAGGACGAGGGCGGCGGCGGCGGGCCGCGGTTGCCCGGCTCGGCCCGGCGGCGGCGGCGGCGCTCCTACGCCGGGGAGGACGAGCTCGAGGACCTGGAGGAGGAGGAGGACGACGATGACCTGCTGCTGGCCGCGCCGCCCGCCGCGTCCCCCGCGCCTCCGGGCCCCGCGCCCGCATCGGGGACCGGCACGGGAGGCTGCAGCGGCGCGGGGGCGGGAGGCAGCTCGGGAAGCGGCGCGGGCGGGGGCGGCGGGGCCAAGAACCCGCTGGTGAAGCCACCCTACTCGTACATCGCGCTCATCACCATGGCCATCCTGCAGAGCCCCAAGAAGCGCCTGACGCTCAGCGAGATCTGCGAGTTCATCAGCGGCCGCTTCCCCTACTACCGGGAGAAGTTCCCCGCCTGGCAGAACAGCATCCGCCACAACCTGTCGCTCAACGACTGCTTCGTCAAGATCCCCCGCGAGCCGGGCAACCCGGGCAAGGGCAACTACTGGACGCTCGACCCGGAGTCCGCAGACATGTTCGACAACGGCAGCTTCCTGCGGCGCCGCAAGCGTTTCAAGCGCCAGCCGCTGCTCGCCCCCCACGCGGCGGCCGAGGCGCTGCTGCTGCGTGGCGCGGGGCCGCCGGGTGGCGCGGGGGACCCGGGCGCCGCGCTCTTCCCGCCGCCGCCGCCTCCCGCCTGCGGCTACGGAGCCTACGGCTGCGCCTACGGCCTGCAGCTGCCGCCCTGCGCGCCGCCCTCCGCGCTCTTCGCCGCCGCCGCCGCCGCCGCCGCCGCCTTCCACCCGCACTCGCCGCCGCCGCCGCCGCCGCCCGGTGCGGCCGCTGCCGAGCTGGCGCGGACCGCCTTTGGCTACCGGCCGCACGCGCTCAGCGCCGCCCTGCCCGGCCCGTTGCAGGCTGCCGCGGTCAAGGCGGGAGGCCCGGGGGCAGCGGCGCTGGCGCGCTCGCCTTTCTCCATCGAGAGCCTCATTGGGCGCGGCCGGGGTCCCGCCGCCGCCGGGGTGCAAGCCTCACCCGGGCCGGTTAGCGGGACAGCACCGGGGCCCGGGGGCGGAGGCTGCGCGGCGCAGGCGGCCGCGGGCCCGGCTGCCGCGCTCACCCGCTCGCTCGTGGTCGCCGCAGCGGCCGCCGCCTCGTCCGTGTCATCGTCGGCCGCGCTGGGGACTCTGCACCAAGGGACTGCGCTGTCCAGTGTGGAGAACTTTACCGCTAGGATTTCCAATTGTTAGAAACGCCGCCGTTAGCGCGCGTGAAAAAGCGAAGGTAGGACTCCTGGCTCTTTTCTGCGGATGGGTGGTTGGTTTTGTTCGCCCCTCCCTCCCGGCCCTCGGCGACCTGGCGCCCCCATTTTCGCAGCTTCGGATTCTTGGACCGGACTGTGTTGGGCAAACAGATGTTTGGCTCAGCGGGTCCCTCTATTTATGCAAACTCGCCCTGTGCTGCAACCCAGACTTGGGGTGGGAAGGTTGGGGATGTTAGGGGAGTCGCCCTGTTTTGGCACCAGAGGCTTCTTTGACTTTTGACAAATTGAGAAAAACCAACCAAAACCATCAATACTAAGCCTTTTTTGAGGTATAGAGATTCTCAGGTCCAGGCGTTAAAAAAAAAAAAAGTCAATAATGTTTATATGAAACTCATACAAAAACCAGTAAAGGGCTCCAAAAATGCCTTTATTTGCTCACACTAGTTTGGTGTACTTTTTCATGGAAAGGAAAAAAAAAATGATTAACATGTTTACACAAGAAACAAGTAAAAATTTATCATTTCTTATAACCTGTGTTTTGTATCATAACGGACATGCGGAATTTTTATTTTGTACTTACTGCATATTCTTTACAAGGAGTATTGTAAATTTTACTGGCAATTATTATTGTACTATTCTAATGTAAGAATTTACACTTTTTTCAGAAATAAAATTCTTAATTTTCAAAGAAAAGACAACTAAGTAACTGGCTGAATTGTCCTTGTCTTAGTGTTTTTTTTTTTTCTGCTAGAAAAAAAGGGTCTTATAGATTACAAGTCCAAACTCAGAACAGAATCTACTTAAATACTACTTCCTAAGAAAGCTTAACATAACCACGATGGCACGATGTCCCACGATGTCATAAATTTTGTTTAAACTTTCCAAATCAGAACCATGGCAGATCGGAACTTATTTTTCAGTGACTGCAAATGAAAGCAATTACTTTGCTAGATGTTTCCAAGGCTAAGGCCCTGTCCATTTTAAAGACCAATGAGACATTTTTAAAGTGGAAGTTGTAGTCACCCTGAGGTAATTTAATAGGAGTGTTTGATTTTATTTTTGAGATTCTTGAGTTAATTTCTGCTTACTTTTCAGTATAATGATATAAAAAAAATGCTCAAATGTGGTGTTAAACTGTAATGAAAAGCAAGACAGGTAGAGGCAATTTCTAGTTTAAAATTTTAACAGCAAAAAGTGATGCACAGATTATCTGTTTAAAGTGTTCAAAGTCTCGGGTAAGCAAATATTTGCACTTTTAACATGAATTATATATGAAAGTTCTAGTATTTACGATGAAAGTGCGTCCAGGAATTGCACAAATGAGTTCTGAACCCAAAGGCAAATGTACTGAAATTTTAGCTTAAATGAATAACCTAAGAGTAAGAAACCTTGTCTTTAGCGGAGTATATGGTTCAAAGTTTTAAAGGTGAGAGCTTCTTGGGTGATTGTAGAACTAAAGAAGCCATTTGGGGTATCCCTTTTCAAAGTTTAAGTCTTTCCTTAATGGTTACAGTCAACACCCAGTTCCTTGGGGAAGCCAAGGCTAGCCTTGTTGACTATGGTGTTTCCTGCTTATAGCTGATGCATCTGTAACAAGCAGTTTGAATGCTTGGGGTGAACTGTTTATTCAGTTTCTTTAAAATGTGGGTAAGGGTACAAACTCAGTATCTGAAGACCCACAGATTTAACCTGTCCGGTTCATGATGTGTGCATTATTGGCCAGTACTGTGCTGGGCTAGTCAGTCACACTTAATGCCTTGCCCCTTTGAGACATCTGAGGAAGGAAAAGACTCAAATACCCTAGATGAACATTCTGTTTTTGTTTTCCCTCCAAGAGATGCGTGAAGGAAGGTAAAGAAGAGGTTAGAGTAAAAACATTCACAGTGAAACGTACCACCACATATTTAAATAATTGTAAATGAAGATCTCATATGCAAAGGCTTCTGGTTCTCTAACACAGCTTTAGAAGAAAGCAGATCTCGGACAGGACCGCAGACCTTCTGCATCCCAAGAGCCCTTCACAGGGACATTCACAGGCAGGACCCAAAGGCACAGATGCAGCGGTTCGCCTGTAGACTTGGGCACTCAAAGAACGGACTTTTTTTAGATTTGAAAGTTATTACAAAGAGAGCCAAAACCAAAACCCTGTGTGTTTTTTCCCCCTAATTTCAGGATGAGTGTGTAGATGCTCCGAAAGCAGGGAATCATGCTCTGTCTTTTCTTCCGATTTAAAAATGCCAAGAGGAGCTCTGCCTCCCAGGCTGTCTGTGCACAAGGCTAGGGCGACCCTGTCCTGGCCCTAGGGTCCCTGTACTGGGCTCCCACGTCACCGTCTAGAGCAGTAGACCGCAAACTTGCTTTTGATCCGGCGTAGTGCAGTGAGGGCCTCCTGCTTGTTTGTTGCATCCCGCCAGATTCGGTCTCCTTTCTGAGATCTGGGAGTGCGTGATGGGCTTTACTTACTCTGGAGACCTGCGGGGGACAATAAGAGGCCTTAAGGTGTAGGTGGTGCGGGGCAGAGGCTGGGTAAAGGCCGAGGACTGCACAGTGGGCCTTGGATGGGTGAGCCAGGAGTGTGGGGAGCCAGGCTGTGCTGGCAAGCAGGTGCTGGAACAAAGGAAGCCCGGCTACCCAGGCCTTTGATGGGCAAGGGTGTCTCCTCCTGGGGCTCCTCATTCGCATGCAAATCCAACGCTGGTCCCCTTTTCTTTGAAGGCAAACAGAAGGATGTTTGTGTGTTTGTAGGCAAGAAGGCTTCTCGAACAAGCCTTCCTCAATAGGCTGGGTCTCGAAAAATAAACCAGTTGGACAAACATTGGCCACCAGCTCTCCTCCTCCCGACTACAAAGTGTGGATTTGCTACAACTCATTAACCCGACGCCTTTCTCTCCTTTTCCTTGTTTCTTTACTCTTCAAACGCCCCCGTAGAGCCTGGAGACAAATGACCGAAGCGCAGTCGGGAGGGAATTGCAGTTAATGGAGAGAGGGATATATTGGGGCTAATGGTTCAGGCAGCTCCCGAGGAAGGACCACACAAAAAGGAGCCTCTCCATTCAAGGCTCTGTTGTGCTGCGGGGATTTAATCTGCAGCTAGATTTAGCCAAATGTTATCTATTGCGGGGGTAATGAAGCCCTTATGGGTTGAATTGCTCCTTGTACCACACATGGTGTCATGACCTCAGACTGCTTCTTGGTTGATTTCTTTCTCTATCGGGTAATTATTTTATGTCTTTAAAATAAAAAGCTAGTGCTTCTGCTGGACAACGGGTTTCCTCTCTATTCCCACCCCACACATTTAAGAGACACTTGCTCCCCTATTACAATAAATAAATAAATAAAAAGAAAAGAAAAGAAACAAGTAACGGAGGAAGAGGAGGGAGGCTGTGACAGAGCTTTTACTCCCCCCCACCACCAACCTTTTACTCACTGAAGCTTCTGAAGCTCTTTATGTGTACTCATCTACAATTCTTCGTCCCTACCAAGAAGAAGCTCTCGTGTGTCCAAACTTTCTGCAGACTTGAACTGGAATTCTGGATGCACCCCCAAACTCTCACGTTCATAGAGTAAGTGTGCATCTCAGGAAGAGGTCTCTGTCCCTCCAAGATTTTCTTTTTCTGTAAGCCCACATGCCTTCCTGTGGCCTGCTGGCTGGGAGAGCTGGGGGCTGTGCTCATTCTGATGGAAGGTGATTATTTTGATGGAATACCAGCCCCTGCCATTTATTAAAGGCTGTCTGAGGCCACTGGTTGAGGCTGTGCCTGTTTTGTTTTTCTCTCTCTCTCTCTGACCCTGATGACTCTGCTTTCTTTGCTTGAGGAAGGACCAAGCTTGGAGCTGCTAAAGGTGTTTTTACAACCCGCTGCCATGGGTAAGGATCTGACCCTACTACCCACAGTTAAGAATCAAGGATCCTATATCATGATATTTAAATTCTCTGCTCGCTACACGTTCTGTTCGCCCCTGCTTTTATTACTGACAGAGCAAAGTCATGTGGGGTCGGCAAAAAGGGTGTTGTCACTGTCAAACCCAAATCAGAAATCTTCCCAGGGTCTCATGGGGCTTCTTCAGGGGCCTTCAATGTGCATTTAATTTGAATACCAAAGATACGCCCCTGCACCTGTACCGAACCAGACAGAGGTGGACCTAGGGAGTCGCATTGTCCTCGCTCAAGTCTCTGCCTGGCGCAGCTGAGTTAGTTGTGCATTCACACAGGCATATGCATTCTCACGTCAGCCGCCACTGCCTCTTTTCCCCCTATGATTTTGTAATTAGGCATATGTTTTTTGTTGGTAAACGTGTTTGATGTCACGGCCAGTGAAATGTGGTGTGTTTACAGGGCCACGAATGTAAATGTGTAAATATGTTTAGTGTAAAATCTAGCCCTTCAACTTTAGCAATAAATAGGCTGCCAACTTGGATCCCCTTACATTTGACAGAGATATTGGAGCCCCTGATCCTGGCCAGCTGCTGGGGCTGCCACAGCTTGTACTTCCCCAATGGAATTCACTTTTCGGCTAATTTCTTTACATATCACATCTCTCTATCACATCTTGTTCTCGCTGTGACGGACTGTTTTTTCACAGCTGACCCTTCCTTCCGGGGTTCTAGAAGCTTCCAGTTTTTTCCCCCTAGGGCTTCTTTACCAAGGAAACTCCTCTAGTCACTATTAAGCAAAAATCTAGAAAATAACAGATGACAAGCAGTGAACAGCCTTTAGGTGTGACAGGGTATATAGGAGCTGGTTTGGTGGTTATGTGCTGACCCCTAGCCAATATTGCCATTACCACTAACATCCTAACTGTAAAAAGTGTTTGGACCTACCATGTGGAGTCTGGGGCAAGAGAATCTGAAGCCATCTGAGCTGCAAAACCAGGCCATGTCACCCTTCTTCAAAACCAAACCACACATGTTTTGAGCTACTCTAACTGTTAAGAGTGTAATAGAGACAGAAGAGCTCAGAAGTCACAGCAACTTTCCGCCCTAAATGAGTACACGGGGTGGCTCATCCCTGGTCAAGAAGCTGTTTTTATGGGCACACTGCCACACCAGGCTTCTCTTTCTTATTCCAGCAAGTACCCTCAGCAAGCATTAGACACACTCTCCCACATCACCCCGGACAGGGTTTCTCTGTGTAACAGTC